GGCAGATGTTTGGTTAAGATTTTGAAAATAAATTATCATTTTAATCTGTAAATCAGAATACTGGCTAATACTTCAGAAGAGGGGGAATGCAAAATATTGATTCACTCACAAATGTACCAATTTTTCTCACATTACATCTGTTATTCGTACATTTTAGACAGAAGAAAATAAACAATAGATATAGTCGTTTTCCCGAATATCGTAATTTTCCTTGCTTTCCAAATATTAATCAATGAAATATAAGCAAAATAATGTCCGAATATTTTCAATGCACTCGAGTTGTGTTCTTGCCGTTTGATTAAAAAGAGACTATGTTCGTTTGTGCGCATGCTCAATATCAACCCGTCTTAACACTAGAGTTGACAAATCAAATACCCCATAGATGTGCATGGTAAGGGTCAAAACCCATGAATCATTCCATAAAACACTGTTTTAACCACTATTGAAATAACGACCACTATTGAAATAATTATATCAAAGTGGTTCTGAGCGCATTTCAATAGCAAACATAGTTGGTAACCACTATTGAAATACAACCACTATTGAGATAATTATATCAAAAGTGGTTATGAGCGCATTTCAATAGCAAACATAGTTGGTAACCACTATTGAAATACAACCACTATTGAGATAATTATATCATTAGTGGTTGAGAGTGCATTTCAATAACAAACATAGGTAATAACCACTATTGAAATACGACCAGTATTGAAATAATTATTTCAATAGTGGTTGAGAGTGCATTTCAATAGCAAACATAGGTAATAACCACTTTTGCAATACGACCACTATTGAAATAAGTATTTCAAAAGTGGTTGAGAGTGCATTTCAATAGCAATCATAGGTAATAACCACTTCTGAAATACGACCACTATTGAAATAATTATTTTAATAGTGGGTGAGATTCATTTCAGTAACAAGCAAAGGTTGCAACCACTATTGAAATAATGTTCACTTTTGAAATAAAGATTAGAATATGGATAAAATTATTGATTTCAATAGTACATTGAACAATGTATCCAATATATTGAAATGTTTATTTCAAAAGTTGCGGACGCGTTGAAACTTTTAAGGTTACAAAAAGGAGGCGGAGCCTAATTTGTACGGGAAAACTTGACTATGACATCATAGACAATATACTTCATACAAGATTTCTTTAAAATACCACAAAATGAGTTTATCTGAGCACTAATTTAACCAGTTAGAAATCATCAAACTACATAAAAACTTACTACAGCGTGTTGTTTTGTTGTTAGTAAAATCTCACATAACAAGTTATAAACAAGTCATTGATCGCAATACAATTGTGAATATGACGTCATTTCTTACAACATGACGTAGTTTGTATGCAGTGAGAGACAGATCAAGTAATATTTTCTTAACAAAATATGTATTCTCTAATTTAATAAAATATTATTTACAGATATTTTATGGGCCAATAACTTGAATTTAATGTCTTTTTCACTATTTCATTAATATTTTTTTCTGTACATAATACGTATTTAATTGACACTGTCGTATATTTGTATGCATGTATATCAGAGGGTAATGTTGGGGTCTTAATAAATCGATCTAGTGCAAGGGCATACACTCTGTAGATCAATGTAAGCTTTCACATTTCAACTATAGAACTATTAAGGTATCTAAAAAGTGCTGCGATCCAGATGAAATCTTAAAAACAATTTAATTATATCAATATTTCATGCCGCTGACCAGCAAAAAATATATATAGCATTCTGTCATACAAGTATAATTTTAACAATGAAATTGCAGAATTTAGACAGGATCGCAGCACTTTTTGGAAACTACAATGCGTGTTGAAAATATTTATATACTAAACTTAGAAATTTAACTTGGTTATTTTTGCACTAGTGATTTTTATATGTACCACCAATACTTCAAGTCAATGTGCTAAAATCGCGTGACAGCCGCAACACGTGACTAGTCTAAATATAAAATATAATGGTTCTCGATATGTAGTTATTAATCATAATTACAATTATCCGATATAAATAAACTACTAAAAATAATCGCCATCCCGATTTCGAATACATTTTTAAATACAAAATTTAGTCCATATTTCCATTGCGCACCTTAACTGTACTGCGATAGTGGTAGTATTGTAATAGTTGTTGAAACCTATGGTTACCATATTGAAATGCACTCTCAGCCATTATTGAATAATTATTTCAGTAGAGCTGGTATTTCATTAGTGGTTAAAACCTATGGTTATATAAATTATTTTATTTAAATGCAGTCTCACCCACTGTTGAAAAAAATATTTACTAACTATGTTTGTTATTGAAATGCACTCTCAACCACTATTGATACAATTATTTCAATAGTGGTCGTATTACAATAGTGGTAACTAACTATGTTTGCTATTGAAATGCACTCTCAACCACTATTGATATAATTTATTTCAATAGAGGTCGTTATTTCAATAGTGGTTGCAACAAAGCACACCTGTCTTATATACCTGATTTTGTTTGTACATTAAAATAAGTGTGATATTCGCATTTATACTCAGATATTCCCAAATCGATGACATAACCAGTTGGAGTATACAATCAAAATACATGAATAGGTCACCTTTGTTTATCTTATACAGTGGTAGGCTAAAATCTATATTTTTATCTTACATAAACATGATTAAAGTGAACTTGGAACAATCTGATGAACTGGCTAGAAATTCGACGACATGATAACATGAGGCCTCTAAACCCTGAGCTCAGATCTTATTGTCAGCAAACAATGAATCTGGGCGTGAAAAATCAAAATGATTATGCTAATGAATTGAACAAATATTTTAGATATGCATGTGTATTAAGATTCCGCTGTTTACAACTACTGAACTTTATAACATTTAGGGAATTCCCATTCTTATGATACATCATTTTTGAATCATCACGCAGTACTAAAATGCTGTAAAATAAAAAAAAAATACCTATCGGATTTTGTGGGTTTGTTTGACATTATCAAAAAATGTTTAACTCTTTACAACTTACTGGATTGTTTTGAAACATATACTTAATGTTCACGTCATAAAAATATATCTTTACAATTTCCCCGCAAGCACTTTATAGAATGGTACAAATTTCTCTAAAATTTAGCATAAATAATATTATAACGTAATATTTCAATAAGAAAATAACTTTAATTTAAGGACGACAGACCTAATTCGAAATTTAGCGCTACTGCGCAGGAAGTCGCGCATCTGCCTTGAATCAGATTGACGTAATTATGTATTGCTAAAGATGATTGATATATATTTTTTAATGTTTACAAAGAGTTTCATACCTTTACTCTCAATTCAAAAATATTTTACACAATTCGATTCACATTCATTTGTTGATTTTATAAGTAAATGATTATTTTACGACATTTGCCATAAGCGCATGGCGAGTAAATAAAAACGTGTTGTGATGTTGTTGACTTTCCTGACTCGCCGGTTAGGCTGGCTTTGTTCATTTGAAGCTTCGTTATTCATTAATAAATGGAGTGTAGCAAGTAAAACATCGTCATAAACTATGGCCAAATGTACGACCCCCTGTCTCTCATTATCGATACGATTCTAAAGCAGATTCTGGACAGTGGCCTGAGACAATAAATTTATGTTGATGATTCTCATGGAGATGATTTGTAAGGAAAGATCTTTTTCTGAATAATGTCTGTTACGTTGCCTTTTCGTGCTAAAGATGAACTAAACATGCATGATGCTAAATGAACCTGTGAACATAATATAGTTTGTAAATGAAGGAGAAAACAAGAGTCCGGAATGCCAGGACCTAACAGCTGCCAAAGCTTGAAATTTCTGATGTGATATCAACACTAGTCAGTATTTCATTTGGAACAGGTAACCATATTTAGATTTTTTGTTTTAGGCTAAATGTTGCATTTATTCATTATGTTTTATTATTATTGTTGAATATATTTCTTTTAATGCATCTTTAGGTCTATGTAAAAATGTTAAAGATTTTGGATGGAATTGCAATAGGTTGTAAATGTTAAGCAAAATACCTTATTAGAGTAGCCGAGTTAATTTATAAGCATACTTAATTCTCAAAGAATATTCAACCAAGCTTAAATATAAAGCCATGAAGATAAACCTGGCTATTTACCTGCTTAGAGATGAATCAAGTAAAGTACTAGCAATGTTGAAACAGGCTGATCACTTTATTTTTAAATATATGTATTTTGTGCTAGCTTCATTCAATCATTGATAAAGTTTTCCTATATAGCAATGAAATTAAACTAGCAAACTTCTTTAAAGATTTCACATGTGTGTTGTTGGTAATTCCCCTGTGTTACCAACACGTAATCATTAGAATCAAGTATGGTAGTATGCTATCTTATACGTCATATACCGTATAATCCATATTAACCGCCCCTGCCCCTATAAGCGCCCCCTGAGGTCTTTTTTAATTGTCAGGAAATAAGGGCCCTCTGTAAAGTGAATAAAATCAACAAGAATCGTATCAAAATATTGAAGAAAGTGAAAATTAATTATTATACTTATCTATTATCCAATATTTCAATGGTAATGAATAATTTAGCATAATTTGGGTGGATTATCTTCACTTTAAGTAAAGACATTATTTTATTGGTTCCTTGTATTTAATTTTTTTTTCAAAAGATTTCTTAAAGTTAAAATATGACATTGAATATCATAAACAGAGTACCCCAAAAAACGCCCCCGTTTTACAATTTTCTAAGCGCCCGGGCTGTTAATAGGGATTATACAGTATTTGAACCCTTGAATCATTTGTTTTCATGCAAAAAGTTGTTGAATTATTAGTTGTGAATCATTCATAATTGTTTCTATAAAAAAAGATAATAAAAGATTGCCTTCATCTTTTACAGTACATGCACTCGCGGCTTTAAAGAATTAACAACTCAAAACTGAATCACACTGATAATACTATTTTATACAAATTTAAGATGCATGTACATGTATGTAGAACACAATACTCAAATGTATTTTGCATTTCAAATTTAATTTTTTTTTACCACAGAAAAAATCTGCAATTTGAGATACTTGTACTGAGGAAATACCTGCTGTTGAAGAAAAACCCAAGACTTGTTTAGGTATGTTTTTGAAGTCTTTTAAAATGAAAACTTCACTCCTTTTAAAAGTCATTCTCCTATTCCTTTGTACACTGACAATGCTGATTAATCATATGCTTTATTAGGGTGTGAATATTAATTTATATTTTGAGTCTTTCAGTTTATTCATATATTTTTATGCGCCCCAATCGATAGATTCGGAGCATATATTGTTCTTGTCCTGTTTGTCCGTTTCTTTATCTGTTTGTCTGTCTGTTGTCAACTTTAACCTTAGCCATAAATTTTAACAGATAGAGACTTCATATTTGGTATGCATACTCCACTTATTAAGTTTTCAAAAGACACCAGGGTAAATGACCCTTAGTTTGACCTTGACTGTGACCCTTAAGCTAAAAATAGCTTTTCAAAATGCATAAAATTGTGTACACTTGATATAAATTGATTGAATGTTATTTATTTATCTGAATATCACATAGTTTTTTGTGTATTTCAGGTAGAAACAACAATACGCCGATAGTTCAAATTGCTGCATCTATTGGAGCACCCATCGTCGTCAGGAATTTTTCTTGAATTTCCAGCATTTCCAAAAATGCACCTTGCAGGCATGGATTGATTGTTGTAGCTTAACACATGTTACAAGATTATTTAACCCTGATGAGAAATCACAAGATGCAGTGAATGACACTTGGGAGCAATGAGAAGTGAGGGTTCTTTAGTGTGCCAATGTCTGCTGTTCCAACCTTTACTCTCTCAACCAAAAGACCTCCAACTTTACAGCACCAGAATATATGATTAGCCACTGAGAAAATTTTTACAAACTTTTCATGTGTAACAATATTGCAAGTTTATAGTGTTGTTCTACATGTAAACAGCATGTACATCATTTTTTAGACATACAGATGTGATGAAATAATTAGGAACTCTAGTTAGTGTACGGTTAGTTTTACCCCACATGTATATATGTTATATCTCATAAAAAAAACTAGTTAAAAAATCAAAGTTTGTATATTAGGTAACAGGTAATACATGTAAATATTTAAAATGACTGAGTGAAATCATTATAAACAAACATATACAAGTAAAATATTTTTGTATATTAAATTTCATCAATACATGTATTTGATACCGAATGGTACTGTTTGATACTCCATAGTTAAATCTGTTATATCTGTCAACATTTTGTCCTGAAATGTGAAATACTTTATTAATAAAGTATTTTACCTGTGTGTTAAATTCTTATACTTTTACAATTACAGTAGCCTAGATTCAGAGTAAAATAACACAGGTGCATTATTGTCAAATTTTGTGAAAACATTCCCAATTGACAAATTGATAGATACATGTATTTCAGCTCAAGGGGGGGGGGGGGTTAAGGTGGGACACAATAGGGGATCAAAGTTTTACCTAGAAATACCAAAAAACAAGATGTGTTTGTGAAACACTGATGCCCCCGTATGGCAACATAGCAAAGATTAAGCTTTTCTTAAATGCAAATTTAATTAATTGGTACCAAGAGTAGGGTATTCTCACTGGAAAACAATTGTGAAATTTGAAAGTAAGCCAATGTTAAAGTTTTTTTAATAAGTACAAAAATCTCCAAGGTCAAGGTCAAAAGGTCAATGTAATTAGTATCAAATGAAAGGTCTTGCCACATAGAATACTTACATGTATGTAGAGCATGAAAGCCCTAGTCCTAACCGTTCAGAAGTTATGGCCAACGTTCAATTTTTTAAAAAGTAGGTCAAACTCCAAGGTCAAAGGGTCAAAGTTCTTGTTATTAAATGAAAGGTCATGTCATAAGGATCAAATATGTAAAATATGAAAGCACTAGCCCTAACTCTTTAAAAGTTACGGTCACGGTTTGCTTTTTTAAAGGTAGGTCAATCTCCAAGGTCAAGGTCAAAGGGTCAAAGTTCTTGGTATCCGTTAAAGGGCCTTTTCACAAGGATTACATGTATGAAGTATGAAAGCTATATCCCTTACCGTTCAAAAGTTGTGGCCAAGGTTAAAGTTTTTTCATAAGTATGGAAATCTACAAGGTCAAAGGGTCAAGGTTGTGAGTATCCAATGAAAGGTCCTTCAACAAACATTACATTTGTGAAGTATAAATCTCCTGGTGTCTACTGTTCAAAAGATATACATGTAACCAAAGTAAAAGTTTTTTCATGTAAAAGTGGGTCAAACTCCAAGGTCAAGGTCAAATGGTCAAACTTGGTGGTACCCAAAGAAAGGTCTTGACACAAGGATACACATATGAAATATGAAAATCATAGCTCCACTAAATCAAAAGTTATGGGCAAGGTTAAAGTTTTTGCGGACAGAGAAACAGCTAGACAGACGGACGGACACGACAAAAGCTATAAACCCCTGAAACTTCGTTTACGGGGGCATAAAAATCTTTTTTTTTTTATTACCCCAGTACATGTATATGTGTGTGTCCTTATAGCCAAGGTTGGGGAGCCTTGGAATCTATAAGTTAATTTAACAAAGTAGTTTTACATTAATGTAACATGAGGTTATTTTTACATACATATATACATCTTTCATACTCCATTCATTCAGCTGCGTGCATATGCATATATCATTATATGAGAAAAACTCAGATAACAAAAGTATAGAATTCATTGTTTTGTAACATATAATGCTGTAGGGGAAATATACTTAGGTATCTGTGTTATTACCTATGGAGAGCCATGCCCATCTTCTATTAAAATTGTCTAGTTCACAATTTTTTGTATAAATGAATTTTTCACATTTGTAATAATACAATATTTCAGATTTAATTCCCATTAGGGATGGTAGTTCTTTTTTACTCCTTTTTCTATAAATATGTCTTTTTGCTATACATATTATCACATTAAAAATGTTGAAGTATTTGTAATATTTACCAAGTAAAACATCAGTTTTATTCAATGTGATATCTAAATGAAATTCTTCTTTTATCCATGTTAATATGTTGTCCCATATTTCACTAACATAATTGCATTCCCAAAATAAATGGCCCAAGGTTTCAACATTACAATTACAAAATGTACAAAGTTCTGAGTCTGTAATTCCAATTTTATACAGAAATGTGTTGGTTGCAAGAATTCTATGTACAATTCTATAGTGAAACCACCTCATCTGGACATCTTCGGTTATTTTAAAAAACAAAATATTATGCTTTTTCCACCATATATCATTTACATTCAAGTCGAGTTCATTTTCCCATTTCAATTCCCATTTTGGTTTTTTCCATTTCTGGTCAATAAAGATATCATAAAAATCTCTTGAACCTTGCTCATGTTTCTTAATTTTTTGTAAAAATTCTGGATAATAAGGCATATTTTGAGCAATATATTCTATGTTATAACATAAATGTAACTTTTTTATGCATTCTATTATTCCTAAAAATTGTGTAAAAGGAGGTTTTAAACCATATTGTTGACAAAAATGTTCATAATTCATCATTGTACCGTCACTATTAAAAAAATCTAATAAACGATGCACACCTTTGACAAACCATTGTTTGTAATAGACATATTTGTTATTAATACATATAGCATCATTAAACCACACAGGGCTAAGAATCGAGTTTTGACAGTCAGTATATTTCCTTAGCTCAAAAAATGCCAAAAAAACATCTCTCCAAAACAGGTTTTTACATACTTTTGACAAGTTATTTAGTATTTGTCTTCCAAAAAGCACAATATTTGCTACATTTGGCAGAGTACTTACAAGCAAATCTTTCCAACTTGACAGACATTTATCATTTAAAAGTCTACGAATCCATGTAATTTTTAGGCTTTTACAGAAAGAATCAAGACATATCATTCTTAAACCTCCCTTTTCATAACTTTGAATAATATCCTTTTTTGCTATTCTTGGAGTTTTATAATTCCATATATAGTCATAAAAAATTGTTTCGATTTCCTTTATCTTTTCCCTAGGAGGATTTGGAAGACTAATTAATAAATGTGTGATCTTTGGAAGGATCAAAGTTTTAATTACAGTAATACGCCCTGCTGTAGATAACATTCTTCTAGACCATGACCTAATTAGTGATTGCATTTCATTAATTTTTGGATTAAAATTCAACTCGTACATATCTCTACTATCCAAATTCACACAGTATGTAATACCTAGAACTGTAAATGGGTATTGGGACCATTGAAGATTTTCAATATCTGTAAGAATTTCATTTGTTTCATTTGATAAGGATCCTATTTTCACACATTTAGTTTTTTCATAATTTGGTTTTAATCCTGAGTATTTTGCATACTCATCTACTAGTGACAATGCTGACTTTAGTGAATCCTTGGTACCTTTTAATAATAATACAGTGTCATCTGCATATTGCAATAGTTTATATTCTTTATCATTTACAACTATTCCTTTGATTGATACACTATTTCTTATCATTATGCCCATTATCTCTGCACAAAGAAGAAAAAGGTATGGAGAAATAGGGTCACCCTGTCTGCATTCCCTACCAATGTTAAAGAATTCTGAGAAAAAGCCATTTTGAATAACACATAATTTTGCCTCTTTAAATAAGGTTCTTATAGCATTCTGAAATTTTTCACCATAGTTAAAGAAGGTTAAAACTTTGAAAATAAATTTCCAAGAGACTGAATCAAATGCCTTTTCGAAATTAAGCAACAGTATCATTCCTGGTGTATTATTTTCATTACAATATTGAATGATGTCGTAAAGTAATCTAGAATTTTCTCCTATATATCTTCCTGCTAAAAATCCTTTGTGATTTTCATGGATAATTTCAATTAAAATGGGTTTCATTCGATTAGCTAATACACTGGATAAGAGCTTATATGATTTATTTAGAAGTGAAATTGGCCTCCAGTTTTTGAGGTATTCTCGTGGTTTATGTCCTTTAGGTAAAATTGAAATAATTCCTTGAGTTTGAGATTTTGAAAGCTTACCCGAGGCAAGACTACATTTAAAAGAGTTAAATACATAGGACCCAATATCTGACCAAAAGAATTTAAAAAATTCTGCAGTGAATCCATCTGTTCCTGGTGATTTGTCATTTTTGAATGGTTTTAATGCTTCAAATATTTCCTGCTTAGTTATTTCTAATTCCAATTGATTTTTCATACCGTTTGAGACTTTTTTAACATCCTTATTATGTATTAAGAATATGATCTTTGTTTCCATACAATGTCTTGTAAAAAGTTTTTATCTCTTCCAGAATTTTATCTTGTTTATTAACCTCTATACCTTGTTCATTTACAGGTTTAAAAATGTTTTATTAATATAGTTTCTTTTTTCAAGCGCAGCAAAATATTTAGTAGGTTTTTCTCCTTTTTCAATCCATTTACAATGACTTCTTATAAGTAGTCCTTTTAATTCATATTTCCTTATTTCTTCCAATTCTGTCTGAAGTTCATTTAATAAATCTGAATATAACTGTGTTGTACAAATATCAAACATTTCTTGTAATATTTTTATTTGCACGCTGAGGTCTTTTTTCTTATTTTTTCTTTCCCTTACTTTATAAGATGAATAATAGATAGTTAGACTTCTTATTTTCATTAACAGTACATCTAAAAATAAGTCCTTGGGAATATGTAATTATGCATCAGGTCCTGGAGTATAAGGGGGCATTGTATATTCTGCTACTGTATCATATATAAGTTGTTTGATTTTTTTAAATATATTCTTTGTCCCTTAATAAAGAATTATTAAATTTCCAAAAACCTCTACCTCGTTGAAAATCATTAATTCTAAATTCAATACTTACTATTGAATGATCGGTTCTATACCCTGGAATGATCTTAACATTTTCCAAAATTGACAATAATTCTTCAGATATAAGAAAAAAGTCTAGCCTTGCTTGTTTGATAGGGTTTCTACGGCTCCAGGTGAATTTTTTTACTATTGGGTTTTTTACTCTCCAAGGGTCCACAAGATTAAATTTATCTTTTAGGTTTTGTATTTCTACCCTATTTTTAGGATTATTTTCCTTAACATAATTATGACAGTCTAACTGAAAATTTTGAACTATATTCCAGTCTCCACACATAATAATAAATTAATTACCATATTCCTCTACTTTATTACCAATCTCTGAGTAGAACTGTGGATCATCTCTGTTTGGACCATATAAGTTAACCAAAGTAATATTAAATCTATTATCCACCGTCATATTAGTAATAAGGAAATTTCCATTCATGTCAGACTTCACCGTAGAAATTTTAACTTCTACATTATTATTCATAAGAGT